GCAACATCAATTTTAATAATAGCCCTCTCAGTGAGCGAGAGCTTCCCGACACCCTCTCGGCGACGGCGACGGCGGCGTTTCAACGCCTCCGAACAAACCGCGCAAAGCGCGCAATACACATTCGATATTACGACCTCGGAGGTAATGACGTTTTTTTCTCCGATATTACCGAGAAATTTTTTTTTTTTAAACGCCAATTTATTTGCGCGGCGCGCGAAACGAAATTGATCGGCAGGGAGAGAAAGAGATTATATACGTGTATATATATACATACACATACAGCCGTTGTTACAGATTATACAGGTCTCTAATAATTCGGCTATCTGAAAACTCTCACGTTTTCTTCGATGATTTATATATATGTTAAAACCGAGAGTAATAAAGATTTCTTTTCTGATCATTTATAAACAAATTGTTGAATATTATATTTTTCATATTTTTGTATAAGATATGTTTAATCCCATTAAAAATTTATTTTTACATTTAAAATTAAATTAAAATTATTTATGCGGATATATATTAATAATATGTTTTAATATGCATTTTTGTACTTAGATTCAGTCAATATATCAACTGCTTTAATTTTAAAAATTATAAATGAACTCTTAAGAACAAATTATATAAAGTAATGATACACATCATCGACAGAATCTAAACGCGAAAATGCTTTAAAATATATCACGCATAAATAATATATCTCATTCGCGAGATCTAATGTTACATCTTGAACGGCAGAATACATTTTCGCGTATGACGATCTCTGTCAAAATTTTAATAAGAATATAAAGATAAAAATATATTTTTTGACCGATTATGCTGATTTTCCGTAAAACGCTGGTGACGAAAAAATGGAGAGAAAAGATCATTTCTCGCACGTGCGCTCGAGGAGATTCCTCCACGGCGGAGCTCTCGCTCCAAAGTACTCCGCAAGTATCCCGAGGTTGGCGGTTGGTGCTCGAAAAGAGCCACTCGACATGCCTACATAAATTCACGGGCGCGTCGGAGCATGTTAGCGTTATTACGTGTGTCGAGGGGAGTATATGCCGATCTGCCGCGGCCGTTTTCTCCGTCCTTGCGCGGTAACACCCGTTGCCCTAGCATCAGCAGCGGCAGCAGTTTCAAACACCCGCTAGCGAAACTCCTCCCGGCCGGACACAGACAGGTGGTAGCGGAATCGCGTTACAGAAATTGCCAATTACCTATAACATGCAATTCCTGCCCTGCCTCTCGTCCTTGTCCCAGGCGCTCTCTCGCCCTGCTATCGTATTAATCCGCCGCCCGTTACAACCGGACCGCGTAATCGCGCGGGAAACCACGATCGAAATTGGACGCCGTATCTTTTCCCGCGGAAACGTCTCCCAGAAAGCGGATCTCGGTGAACGTGAACGACGTCTTCCCGCAACTATTCGATATACATATAAGCGAGCGGTTTAGATCTCCCAAGGAGATCTCTTTCGTCTAAGATATTATCTACGCTACTATCTCCGTCAGAGGCGTAAAAACGCGTCCGGTTTTGACTTTTGCGCCGCGACGAAACGCATCCATCATTCACTCTTACACGTGTATCGTGTGTGTGTGTGTGTGTGTGTGTGTGTGTGTGTGTGTGTGTGTGTGTGTGTGTGTACACCCGGAGGGTTGAGGCCCCCGAAGAGGAGAGGTCTCGGCTGCCAGCGGGAGTCGAGCGTTTATCACTTAATGACTTGGTCTACCGCCAGTTGCAAGGTTGATAGTCGGTAAGCAGGCACTCTCGACCGAGCCATCAGACGAGGCTAAAACCACTCGCTTAAAATTGTAAAAGTCCATAATTGGCCGCAACGACGTCAGAATGAGGAATGTTATGCTTGCGCGCAAGGACGAACACTTTTGTACATCAGCTTTTATATCCCTGCCCCTCCCCCCCTTTTCCCAATATAAAAAGGAAAAGAGAAAGAGGGAGAAAGAGAAAAGATATTCGTGCGAGACAACATATCTAATTAGCGAAACTAACTAATGCACGTGGCACACGCCGTGCTTAATTGGAAGAATCTCCAAACCACCGTTATCCGCTTAATTAATTAACCGCCTGCGAATTTTCCTTTAAAGGCCGCGTGCTAGCGAGCCTCCTCGCCGATTGCGATTAATATCATCCCCGTCGTGAACGATAAATCTCTCTCATATCGGAGAGATACAAGAGACGTGGTGTGCTCAATTCGTAAAGAAACAATATTGCGCAATTTATAAAAAACTCGCGCAACAATTCGGGTTTGGCTTGATTTTATTCTCACGCGGTTTCACGTAAAGTCAATATGACCAAACGTTCACCCGGAAAAGAAATCCGCACATTTTTTTACGAGCTTTGCTCGGCAAACTTCCTGAACGATCGGCCGAGAAACGCGTGTTAGCGAATTCTTTTTCGCGTTAGTATTAACTCTTTGCTAATATTCGAAAATTACAAGGAAACAAGAAGGCTTTAATATATAAATAAATATTTAAAAAATCAGTTAGAAAGAAGGTTAATATATATATAAGAGCCAAGCGCATAAAGAAGGTATAAGAAAATTATCTTATACGTTTCGGTTCTTTCTTTGAATCATCTTCAGCAAAACCACTTGACAAAAAATTCATGTGTCTTGACTTTCCTTATTGATTATCATCTTTAAAGTGAGTCTCCTATCGGTTCCGGCCGTTAAGAGATGACGAGAATACATAATTCAAATTGTCAAGCATTGATAATCGCGAAAACAAGCGATCATAAACGAGAACAAGATATGAAACATGCACACGTTATGTCACACAGACGTCCGAAATTATAAAAGGGACTTACTAAAGATGATAACCAATGAGGAAAATCAAGACGCATGAATTTTTTTATCGACTCGTCATACATTTATTT